CAGTCAGTGATGGGTGGTTCATGGCGAGCTGCATCAGGTGTGACGGCGCGTCTCTTACGTGGGATGGGATACGCGAATCTGTCGGGATGTTTTGCGATGAGAGTGTTCTTGATGTGTCTTCGGCCGACGCCGTGAGCTCCTGCAGACACACAAATCAGCGCCACCGTTATCATCAATATCATCAACTTGATTGCACAGATACTATTTAAACTGAACTGAGCTGGATGATGACATCACTGAGTCAATAGCTACGTCTGCATGGACACTTTTTGCTTCCATCGGAATGAATTCATTCTGATTGACGAATCTGAGCGTAGTGTTTACATGAACGCTAAATAAAGTGATCGGGTTAGGCGACGACCAGCACATGAACTGTTGTGCTGTGCTGCTTACTTTAGAAAGCAGTAAAAGTGCCCCTTCCCGCACCCAAACCCAGTCGTCTGTGGGTGATAGTCTTACACGAGGACCGGTGGGACGTTGTCCTGCTCCACTTCACAGACGCTGAGTGAAAGGGGAGTTTTATAATGACGGGACACTCATTTATGACACTTTATTCACCAGGAAGAACGGCTCGTTCCGCACGTCATTACACTATTTTTAAGTCACTGCACATGCGCAGTACTTTCCAGTTTTAGTTTTCAATCCGATCAAGTGTTTACATGTCCTCTCGCTCGGATTACAAAAGGAATAAACCACCCCTTACAATCCGATCGAAATTTTAGTCGAATCTGGCCAATTCAGTCCGATTGACGTGTTTACATGTGACTTTTTTATTCTGATTGTGCTTCTAGTCCTATTACGATCGGATTAGTAGGGTCCATGCAAACGCAGCTAATGATGAACTGCCTTTAACTGAAAACTGAGTGTTTACTATCGTCCTTTTGCATTATTGACACACTATTTGGATAGTTCAGCCAAAAATTTTAATTCTGTCATTAATTACTCGCCCTCATGTCGTTCCAAACCCGTAAGACCCCTACAGTTTACTACGTTTCTGAGCCTCGATCGTGTTAGGATCCTTGCTGTCGATGAAGGGTCAGAGAGCTCTCGGAGTTCATCAGAAACATCTTAATTTGTGTTCTGAAGATGAACGAAGGTCTTACGGGTTTGGAACGACACGAGGGCAAGTAATTAATGACGGAATTTTCATTTTTGGCTGAACTATCCCTTTAAGACTGTAAAGCTGCTTTGACAATCTGTAAAAAGCGCTATATAAATAAAGGTGACTTGATTACTGAACTAAACAATGACTGAATAATTTGTCATAACTGATGGATTCTGCAACATCATCTCTTTATTTCTGTGAAGCTGCTTTGAATCGATCTGTGCTGTATAATGTGCCATAGCATGTAATACATTACCCAGCAGCACCAGCGTTTTCCTCTTGAACGCCTGCAGCTTCACCACCTCTTCATACGTCACCAGATCTAGTTGGTCGAAGACTGGAGGAAACAGAGACCTGATCAGTGACACGGACTGCGTGACGGGCGCTAGCGTGAATCAGCAGGAAACAGGAAATGATGTCATTCAGATGTGATGAGAGCAGGTGAGAGGAACTCGGGGTTTGCTTTAAGATGTCTTTGAATGAAACGAGCTGCGAGATTCTGTCCTCACTGGCTCGACCTCGTGACTTTGACTCTTCAGAGGAACATGAGATGAGACGTTTAGCAGAATGTTCATGCTGCTCTTTCACAGCAGATAATCAAACATACTTTACATTTCCATGCGTTCCTCACCAAACGATCATTCAGAATATTCTGTGTTCAGAGCGGCACGAGGGCGAGTGAATGGCGACAGAACGTTCGCTCCTGTAAAGCTGGAATACACTACAGCACTTCTGCCCTCGCTTTTGCATCCAGTCAGACGATATTAAACATGTTTGATATTTTGAGCTGAGTTAGAACATATCGTTTTTAATTTGTCACGCGTCTCAGAGCAATGAGACATGCGTTTCTGTGTGAGTTTGTGGTGTCTGTTAGTATAGCTTGTTTACAATCATGTGATTCTGATGATGGAATGAAAGTGAAATGTAAAGTCCGTACTGTACTGGTTTAGACACTATTACAAGAGAAAGGTATAAACAGGCGGTGGACACAGGCTAAGCAACTAACCCTGATCGCAAACAAGCTATTTTGAAAGTGAATCCAGCATTTATATGAGGGATGCTGAATATATGTCACTCCTGAATCTTTGCTGCTTGTACAGGGTATGTGGCCGGAAATATTGAATCGATTATCGCCTTTGAAAGCGAGCAAACAGCGCTTCCATATAATCACTAAAAAGCTGTCACTCACTTCAATTTAATCGCAATCTCACATTGTTCCGTTATAATCAATGAAGCTCTCTGAACTGCAAATATAATATCTTATTTACATCATGTCTACGTGTGGCGTTTAGCATTGAGTGAATTCTGACTGTCTCGCGCTGAATGCATAAGAGTTGGCAGCCCTGTATCTATTTATAATATCTTAACGTATTATTATATCTTATAATAACCAGT